GGGTTGGATCTTCCGAGATCCCTTCCAACCCCTAAGATTCTATGATTCTATTATCTTGTGATGCCAGCCGCACCTGTACTTTGAAACCAAAACCCATAAGCTGTTTGTTGTTTGCAGCCCCCAGCAGCTGTTGAGTTTGGGATCTGAGATCTGGAAGTACATTAGCTTCCAGGAGGAAGGCTGTTGAGGCTGCTCCTGAGCTGTATTCCATAAGCCATTGGGAGGAGAGCAAGGACATCACTATGCCAGGCAGGGTGGAAGTTGCACGTCACGAACCCAAGAACAGCCAGAGGGATCAGACAGTCTTTCCAGACCTTCCCTGTCATGAACCCAGCATGAGAGTTTCTCTTCTGGTTTCTTCTCTCCCTGTTTGTTCTCCTTCCCATGCAGTAGCCTCTTCCTCACATCAAGCTGTGCCCAAATGAACCACAACAAACCCTGTCAAGCTCGAGGCTAATTTACAGCAGCACTGAGCAGCAACCAATCTACTGTAAAGAAATGACCCAAATTATGGGATTTTAGAGAACTGATTAAATCCTCTTTACCTGCCCACGTGTTCACATTGTTTATTTTTTCCCCTCCTCTTCCACGGAAATTGCTTCTGCTTCCTCACCCTGTGTTAGTGGGGCGATTACATGATATTATCCTGACATGAGGGGCTGCTTCCGTGCTGCAGCCCATAAAACTCCAAAGGTCTTTTCATTGCTTTGTTCCCAGAATTGCAATGCCAGCAGCAGGGGGGAACACAGCCAGATGAAAGTGCACCCATGTGGCAAAGGCTGACTGCAAACAACAGGCTTGTATCAACAGCCAGCCTGGAAAGACAGAGGGACAAATGCCCATCCCCCACTCTCCTCCTACTCCCTGAGTGACCCTGGATGCATGGGGAATGTGCTCAAAATCCAGAGGAAAAGTGAGGCTGCTGGAGTGGCACGGAAGGCACTGGCCCTTAGGAACCCATCAAGATGCTCAGTCTTTTTGCAGCAGCTTTAGCACATTTTTCCTCCCCCCTTTAATCTGGGCCTCCAGCGACATGCACCCTTCCTCAGCTGCTGATCACTTCAAGATGTGGGAAGCTGGTATGGAGCAAAAGAGGCAGTGAGGGGGAAATTCAAGCTCTGTCACCACGGCTGGAGAATATGCAGTGGATAAGCAGCTTTGCAAGTCAGAGAAGTCTGGGAGTGATTTGTTAATTTTTTTTCACTGAACTTGAGACATTTTTTCTTCCCAATTGGAAAAGACTCCCAACAGGATTTCATATGGTTCTTTTCTTCCTAACAGCCTGGGAAGTGCCCTACCCTTCCCAGCTCTCATCATAAATTATAGACAAACAGAAATGAGCAGCCCAGATTCTGTAAGGACAAAACTTCCGCCTCTTTTCCTAACTTGAAAGCTTTGGAAAGACTACAGCAGGCTGCTGGGGAAAAAAAGTTACACTTATATTTTTAGATATTTTTTTGTGAAAGAAGCAAAATGGTTGTGGTGGAGAAATATACAGAGTCACATCAAGTCAGACTGGCTGCTGGTTCCCCAAATCCCAGCCCCTTCCTATTTGCAGTGGGGGAAACCGTGATGACCCATGGCTGGGTCTCGAGCTTTTTCAGGCAAGCATTTGGGATAGGTTTGGAATACCCAGAAACTCCCTCATTCGCTTCCCATCCTATCAGAAGACAGGTTCTGTTTCGCTCCTTACATTAAAGAGCTTGTGCTACACATTGGTTTCACTTGAGTCTTTCTCATGGTGGCTATTTTGGTCTCCATTGCACCTTGTTCTGCTGTTCTCGTCCAGGAACGTGTGGTGCTTTCAGCACACCATGTCCATCATGGTTTGGGAAGGGATCTTACACAGAGCATCCAGTCCCAACCCCTGCCATGGGCAAGGACACCTCCCACTAGACCAGGTTGTTCCAAGCCCCATCCAACCTGGCCCTGAACACTTCCAGCAATGGGGCATCCACAGCTTCTCTGGGCAGCCTGGGACAGGGTCTCACCACACTCACAGCAAGTAATTTCTTCCTAGTATCTCATGTAAATCTTCCTTCTTTCAGCTTAAAATCGTCTCATCCTATCCCTCCGTGTCCTTCTCAAAAGTCCCTCCCTGGATTTCCTCGAGCCCCTTCAGGTACTGGAAGGTGCTCTATGGTTTCCCTGGAGCCCTCTCTTCTTTCTCCAGGCTGGACAACCCCAGCTCTCTCAGCCTGACCCCAGAGCAGAGCTGCTCCAGCCCTCCCATCATCTCCATGACCTCCTCTGGACTCGCTCCAGCAGCTCCGTCTCTTTCTTGTGTTGGGGACCCCAGCACCGGACCCAGCAGGGCGGGGGGGCCTCATCCCAGGGGAGCAGAGGGGGAGAATTCCCTCTGGCGCCCCGCGGCTCCCGCTGCTCTGCCTGCAGCCCAGGACAGGGCTGGGCTTCTCCCGAGCGGCACCGATTGCACCTACGGGGTCTCACCGGGGGGGTTTGGGCACCTCCGCAACCTGCGGCTTGTGGGGAGGGCCC